TATGATATATAATCTTTATTACTTAATATATACTACCATATAATCTAAAAATCACAGAAGAGAATCAATCTTTGAGGCAAAATTCATGCAAGTAGTGGTTGCATTCATATCTTCAAATTCACAGAGAACAAGCAGGAAGGCCATTTCCTTGAATCAAATTGTTAGCTATGAGTCAAGCAAATAAACAAACCCTTTCTATTCTGCTGTGATAATGCCAGCAATAAAGCTTAGCTAAAATTCTTTGTTGAAATTGAACTGTAGTTCATGTCCGTCTCAGCATGGTACCTTGTAAACTGGTGATAAAAACTACAACAAAAACATTTTTAAACATTTGAATTATACAGGAATAAAAAGAGAAAAAAGCATTACTAACATTGAAGTAGAAAAAGATTTACACACTAGTTACAGTATAAATTCTTTGTACATTACCCATACAAAGTGGAACCCACACAGGTGTAGTGTTAAACTATTAACTGCAAGATATGAAATGTATACATATTTCAGAGTATTTAAGCATATTAACAGTGCAAATATGAAGTAAAGGATGAGATTTCTTTGTAAAACATCTCTTACTACTATTATTCACAAATAATGATATAGCATTACCTAAACCCATTCATAATAAATCTCTTCCCTGCTAAAGAGTACAGTACCTGAATACTAAACAAAGCCTATGAGCAAAAGAAATCGCTAACCCAATGACTGCCAATGGCATGGCCCACATGACATGTCCACTGTAATTTTAGTTTATTAGCTCTTATTGGATGGTCGTTGGCCTATGCTGATGGCTAATAAGTACAGTATTTTCTGGGTATCAGCTTGAACCGATGGTCACTTCAATGGCCTTAGGACAGGGCTGATGTTGCCATTGGTGGAAGTTCATCCTGTGTTCACATCAAGATACAATGCCCTAACTGACAAGAGGTCACTTTTTCTATTTTTACTTATTTTGATTTTACAACCATCCTCCCCCCTTTGGTGTTCACAGTAAGATGCGGCCACTATTGCTAACAATGTCATGCTCACTCTGAACCATTGCTGCTGCTCTTCAAGGTAAGAAAAATGATGAATAGGAATGTGTTCATTTGGTGTAGTGTACATGCTTTTTCTTTCTTAAATTTTTTGTTTCTAACTTTGCATTTTCCTTCCAAAGGTAATTAGCTGTCCTGAGGAATCTCGATTCTGACCTTGAAGATCTCAGATTTCTTGGGAGAAGGACTGAGATGGCTGAGGAATGGTCGAAAGTCTCATGTCTATCTCTTTTAGACCGAGTCTGGTTGAGGAGAGGTGATGCTCTCAACTCCTTATGGAACATTGTCTAGCCAACCGGAACACCCCAGGGACTTCAGACTTTGTCTGAAAGAGGAAGGATCATTTCATTTGCTGTCACGAGTTCAAGACAAACCCTGGGGTAAAGGCTGACTGAAAGCTGGGGAGAACACAACTGTGGAAGAACTGCAGTTGCTTATGGGCCTCTGCCTACTCATGGGCATGCAGCCACTACAGCATTCGCAGTATTACTGGTCCAGGAAACCACTGATTTCTTCATCTGTCCATGTCTGAGGAAGATCACAATTGAATTGATGTGGGCTTACTGGGGATGACACCATATGGTTCAATTCAATCCAACAAAGAGGGCGCAGTTCAGCATGGTCTATCGAATATGTGAGTGATGGTGCTGGTACTGGCCACCTCAGTGCCTTCATCATTTACATGGGACAGGACTGCTTAGTTGTGCCGACCAGCATAAAGGCCTCCTCGATCTTATGAACCGTGCCTGTTACTTTGAGAAGGGTTATGAGCTGTATCTGGACAACTGGTACAGTTTGCCAACACTCTTCTACTACCTATAGTCGAGGAAGACCAAAGCAGTGGGAACAGTTCAGCTGAACCATAAGTTCATCCTGAAGGACCTCAAGGTGAGTGCCTGTGGTGATGTTGACCTCTGAACTTTGGTGGCAGAGATGTTGGCCATGTTTTGGATGGATCGGAAGAAAGTGAACATGCATTCCACCACAGCTCTGACATGGTTGACCTGCCCCTGAATTGCTTTGGTTAACCCCTTGGTGCCAGGTGACGCCGATCGGCGTGCAAACAAACCGCTCGAAAGCTGGCATGTGGCTTTACGCCGTGGCGACGCGCCACGCCCCTATTCACGCCGCCTTTGTTTGCTAGAGCGTAGATTTTTTTTTTTGTTTTGTACACCCGGCATCATTAGGTTAAGTCCGGAGAAAGCCCCAGGTTGCCCTCGACTGGAACATGGGAATGAAGGGAACCAACTTATTGGACCAGCTAGCATTGTGGTATCAGAATCTCTTTTACCATTTGCTTAACAAAGCAGGAGTGAATACCTACGTGGTCTACAGGGTGTTTGGTAGAACACTCTTAGCTCAAGTTTGGTCATGAGCTGTTGGTCGACCTTGTACACCAACCTCTGGCCTATGGAAGAAGGGGTGGCCTTCAGATGCCTCTGTCTGCTGCCAGATGCCCCCCTATAGCAGTCCTGGTGTTCAATCCAGGACACAAGTACTACTGGTGCAGTTACTTCCACATGAGCAGAAACACCAGGAAGAAGATGCACCACAGGTATGTTTGGTGTAACGTCTCTCTCTCTGCTCACTGGATTGTTTCAATGTGTGGCAACACCGCCAACTCTGGCAGCAAGCTATCACCACCTATCCACCTATGACAGCAGCAGGCTATCACCACTTCATGTAGCTATAGGATCTCACCACCTCCAGTAGCAGTAACATTTGGGTGGAAACAAAACAAAACAAAAAAAACAAAAAACAAAAGAAAGAAAGAAAAAAAGGTTTCATCTCCCCATTTCATTGTCTGAAAGCATCACTTTTGACCTGACATAAAGCCATAATTGATGTCTACCTCTTTCAAAGAAACATGATTTTCAAGAGAATGAACTCTGGATTACAAGATGAAGATAAAATCAAACAGATAAAAGTCACTTTACATCAACAGAGCTTCAAAGTTGGAGCTGTGTAATATTCATGGTCAGACTGACTTGGAAATGGCAGCACTGAGTGAGCTAAGCTAACTTGTGCTGGGCTGGCATCCCAGCACAGTGTGTTAGGCCTTAGCAGATCTGCCTGGACTGGGCAAGCAGGACCCTGCTTATATAGGTTACTTGTGTTTATACACAAATGGGTCTACAAGTGTGCACTCATCAAGGAATCAATTATTAGTCCTACCTATCTCACAGGTTTACCCTTTTTCTTGAATTTTCGAAATATTGAAGGTGAAGATGAAGAAGGAAAAGTCCCACAAATTCAAGGAATGGGAAAATCAGGCATGATAACTTGGGTCTACTAATTGATTCCTAGATGGCTGAGCACTGGTAGAGCCATCTGTATGCAACAAAACAAATAAAAAACTGCAGTGGACAGAACATCATCCCATGGTAAATAAGTTAAAGACCTTTCACTAAACACTACAATTACACAACCACAAAAGGAGCACCAACTGGTCTATCAAAGTAACATCTCAATAGCTTTTTAATTATCAATTTATGAACAAATCATAACATCCACGAGGTTACAATTATCATTAACCATGAAAATACTGACTCATATTACCATTTCCCTGAAGAAGCAGTGTACTTTTTAGTAGATAGTAAATTTAATCTTATAATTTTCATTTCCTTTCACATAAATGTCTTTGTAGTGTCATTAGGCATTACCAGTTTCTTTTAAATACAATAGTCATTAAAATAATAGCAGAAACAATAAAAAATAATAATGCAAGATACAAAACAGAGGCATAATGTATTATAGTTAAAAATCTTAAACAAGGTTTTGTAATCTTCCAGGAATATAATTCTAAAACTCTCTTCCATTACATTTACTGCCACTGAAACCACTGGCTTTTCCTTCGCACTGATTAAATGTGCTTTAATCACTTAATTTCAAATTAAATCACAATTTCCTTGAATTTGTATTCTTTTGTAATTTGAACATCTTGAATCCTGATACAAAATTCTAAAAACTAGTGGAAAAAATATTATCTCAGCAAGTTTTCAATGGACAACAACAATGTGGCATGTATAAAAAAGGAATACTTTTTCAAATGTACATTCTTCAATATAGTTTTTTCAATAAATAAAATTTTACAAATACATACAAGCCTTTGCTGTGCATTTTGCATGGTGTCTGTAAGAAAAGCATTAGGCACATTATAGACGTACACAATAAATATGCACTCATATTTTGAAGTCCACAAGTGCAGACATTTTGTTGAGTGGGGCCAAACAAATGTCAAATATGTCATTCTAAAAGTAAAAGTAGAAAAAAAAAAAAAAAAAAAAATACTGGAGTAATTTTATTACTAAGGTTGCCAATATTGTATTACTGCATCTAAAAGTTAAGGCGAGGAGAATTTTGACTGAATTTTCCCCATATCAATGATGCCTAGCTGTCAATAATTTTCCAATGGACTACTAAATAAATGGGCATTCTGCATATCAACAGTTAAAAGTCTGATGCCTGATTTGGTTGGAGCAAAAAAGCTCCCTTAAAAGTAAGAAATCACATATATTGGTAAAATACCAAAACCCATCTTAACAGCTGCTGAATTAATTATATAAATTAAAACTGCTTTTTCAAAAGCTTTCCATTAAAGCTAATTAATTTCATATAATCATAGTATTAATCATAGTATAGACAAAATAAATCTCACGCATCTTATTTACTGTAAAAATCATTAATGACAAAATAAAACTATTTCATTCATAACTCATTACTTAAATCAACTGCTGAGACCTGGTTCCCCCTCAGGCCAAGAGAGGGTGGTACTCCTCCAGCAGCCTCTTGCGATAGACATGTGAAAAACCCATGAGAGATGCACCCCACTTAAGGGAAAGGAAGGCCCATATTGCCATGAAGTAATGGCTAGTTGCAATGTTCGTCATTGATGGCATGTCTGGAAAATAAAATGAAATAATCTACTTGATAAACCAAGGAACAGAATACAAATACCATGTAAAAATT